ATATGTTTCTGAATTTTCAATTCTGTTCCACTGATTCACATATAAATTCTTGTTTAATTGCTTATTTATAATAAAGGAAGAAAATAATAAAAGAAACAAATTTTAAAAAGGGAGAAATAAAATGCACTTGAGCCATCACCTGCTGCAGCCCAGAGTGTACATTACCAGGAAGCTGGAATTGGGAACAAAGCCAGAACTTAAACACAGGCACCTGAAACATGGGATGCAGGCAATAAAAACAGCATCTTAACCACTACACCAGATGCTTGCCCTGTAAATCTGTTCTTTTGTTGCCACTACACTACTTGATTCTATAGGTCTGCAGCAAAGGTTGAATTCAAGTGGGAAGCATATATTCCAATTTTGGGGAGATTTCTGTTGTTGTTGTTGTTTTAAAGATTTATTTATTTGAAAGTCAGAGTTACACAGAGAGAGGAGAGGCAGAGGCAGAGAGAGAGGTCTTCCATCCGATGGTTTACTCCCCAATTGGAGGCAATGGCTGGAACTGTGCTGATCTGAAGCCAGGAGCCAGGAGCTTCTTCCGGGTCTCCCACGTGGGTGCAGGGGCCCAAGCAGTTGGGCCATCTTCCACTGCTTTCCCAGGTCATAACAGAGAGCTGGATTGGAAGAGGAGCAACCAGGACTAGAACCAGCGCCCATATGGGATGTGGGTGCTTCAGGCCAGGGTGTTAACCTGCTGAGCCACAGAGCCGGCCCCCATTTTGTTGTTTTTTAAATTGAGACTGTTTGGCTCCTGGAAATTCCATACAATTTTTAGGATGAGTTGTCAGTGTGTACAATGAAGCTAGCTGGTATTCCAAAAGTGACTACACTGAATTTGTAGATCAATTTGAAGAGTGCTTCCATGTTAAAAAGTCTTCCAATTCATGAACATAAAACATTGTTCCACTTATTTAAATCTTCACTACTTTCAACAATTTCTAGTTTTCAGAGTACAAATTTTGTACTTCATTTGCTAAATTTATTCCTAAATATTTTATTATTTCTGATCCTATTGTAAACAGATTTTTTTTTTTTTGGTTTAAAAATAGGGAGCTTCTTCAGCAGTTTACATTTTTTAAAAGATTTATTTATTTATTTGAAAGTCAGAGTTAGAGAGAGAGAGAGATCTTTCACCAAGCACTTGGCTCATCATACACTGCTTTCCCAGGTGCATTAACAGGGAGCTGGATCAGAAGCAGAGCAGCTAGGACTAGAACTGGTGCTCATACGGGATGCTGGCATTGCAGACAGCGGTTTAACCTGTTGTACCACTGTGCCAGCCCTAGATTCTTTTCTTATACGGATTTATTTATTTACTTGTTTGAAAGGAAGAGAGAGAGAGAGATTGATCTTTCATCTGTTGGTTTACTCCCTGAGGATGGGCCAGGCTGAAACCAGACACCAGGTGGAAGCCAGGAACCAGGAATTCAATCTGGGTCTCCTTCCTATGTGGGTGGCAGGGACCCCACTACTTTTACCGTAACCTGCTGCCTCCCCAGGTGTGCCTCAGCAGAAGGCAGACTGGGAGCAAAGTGAGGACTCACTCTGATATGGGACGTGGACATCCCAAGTGGCATCTTAACTGCTGTGTCAAACATGCAACCACACACTGACTTTTCTTAATGTAATTTTCAGATTGTTCATTGCAAGTATGTAGGAATGCAATTGATTCTTGTATCCTGATCTGGAACCGTGCAACCTCATGATTTTTACTAAGTTCCTTAGGATTTTCAACATACATGATGGCAACATGCACAAATAGAAACAGTGCTAATTCTTTCAAACATGGGTGACTTGCATCTCTTTTTCTTGTGTGACTGCTCTGGCTGGAACCCCTACAGACATCTTTGTCTTGTTCCTGATCTTGGGGGAAAGCTTTCAGCCCAGGACCAGTTAAGTGAGACAGCAGCGGTGGATTTTTCAGACGCCCCTCATCAGGCTGAGGAAGTTTCCTTCTGTTCCTAGTTTGCTGAACCTTTCTATTATCACACAGCGTGGGATTTTGACAAAAGGCTTCTCTGTCTACTGTGATGACCACAAGGTTTTATTAATTAATTTTGGATATCATACCAACCTTGCATTCCTGGAATAAGGGCAACTTGGTTGCGGTGCATAACCCTTTTCAGAAGTTGCTGGATTCAATGTGTTAGTATATTATCAAGAATTTCTCCATCAATATTCATGGGAGACAGCGGGCTATAGTTTTCTCTGCCTGGCTATTGGCCTCATGGAAGGAACTGGAAAATAGACCCTTCCTCTTCTACTCTTTGGAAGCATCTGTGAAGGATTGAATTAACTGTCATCTGCATATCTGGTAGGATTAACCTGGGCCAGGCTCTTCTTTGTGGGTAGTTTTTATTACTAATTCAACATCTTAAACTGTTGTAGAGTTAGATTTTTTTTTTTAAATTTCTACTTGAGTCATTTTCAGTAATCTGTGTCTTTCTGGGAACTTTCACCTAAGTTATCTAATTGACTGGCATACAGTGCTCATGGTATTCCCTAGTGATTCTTTTGTTCCTATATAATTTGGATCTTCTTTTCTGATTAAAAAACAAAAACACTGGCTTCAGCCATGCTTATTCACTACTCATTGTCTCTGGCTGTCTGCATTAACACTGCAGAGCTGAGCAGTTCTAACACAAACCACATGGTCCACAAACCCAAAAACATTTTGTGTCTGGGCCTTCGCAGAAAAAATGTGCTTGGAAGAATAGAAATGCAAGTTCAGTGCTCTATGAAGAGCAAAGCAAAGGCTGGGAGGCTTGCAGGGGAGGTGCACAAGGCAAGCAGTAAGTGTTCCATGAATTGTCAAACACGCTGCTTACGGCTATGTTGGTGATACCAGATTCAGAATGACTGTCAAGCTTTCACGACTCTCAGTTCACAGTTCTACTCTTCTCTAACCCCTCAGCCCCTATCTATTTTGGGCAAAACACACACACTGCAGGCCAGACTCAGTGCAAAAACCCAGCTCCACAGAATAAACAGGGAGTCCAAATATAAACAGTATTCCAGGCAATGAGGATGAGCAACCAAGGCTGTGCTGTGAGCAACTGTCAGGTGGGGGTCCTGGGACTTCAGAGGTCTCTTCCTGAAGGCAACACAAAGACTCAAACAGCACACCTTTCCAGGCGACATCCAAACAGCACGTGGGGCCGAGCAGCTGCTCTCTCCCACCTCCTCTTCCAGCCTCACAAAGGAAGAGTGAGTCAATTCTTCCTTTCCACGTCCGTATCACCTAGAAACTTCGCCATGGCAGCGTGTCTGCAGACTTTGCCTGTGTGTGGCTCCCTCACTGGGCAGCCCAGCATTCTCAGGTTCACTGCATTCTGTGCAATGCAACCCTCTGCTGCCTTCACATCATAAACACCCTTCCCTGCCATGTCCACCACCAACACCTAAAGTGCCTGCAACCCCACGTAAAGGCCAGCATCACCCACATCTCTTCCACAGGAAGCCAAAGGCAGAGCCTCCACATGAGGAAAGCTCCATACAGAGCCCTAACGAGTCAGTGATTCCAAGGAGAAACCATTCCAGCTAACAGAAGACAGGACACAGCAAAATGTTCTGGGCAGAAAATCATTCCTTCCATCAGAGCCTGGGCAAGGAGACGCAAACGAGCTCTGTTACAGAGGACACCACTGTAACCTCAGAGCAATGGCAACGTCCATGACCCCAGACGTGAGGTGGGGGTTCCCACGAGGCTACTGTCGCTCCTGCTTTACCACTGGCCCTGACGAGAAGTATCGGCTTAAATGGAAGCCTTGGGCCAACCACTGAGAGACACTGCGAGTTCAGGCAAGTCCCCTAAATTATAGCAAAGATTCATGGGAAGACAAGCCTGTGTGTGCACAGTAGAACAGGCTGGCTGGGCTAGAGGTCCATCAGCTCTTGCTCAGCTATGCCTCGTCTCAGGGACAAACAGCAGTCACCACCCAACTCTGCTTTCTCCTAAGGCCACCAAGTTCACCATTTTACTCTGGAAGTCCCAACCTCGCCTCTCAGTCATCTCAAGGTCACTGCCACCGTGCGAGTCCTGCATGGGTCATTTCTCCTGGGAGCTGCAGAGTGGAAGAGACCTGAACAGTGAAGACAGCTGCTTCCCCTACGCAGTTCCTCACTTCTCTCACACAAGGCTTTCTTCCTCTGTCTCTAGGCGCCCAGCCTTCACGGTGGTCCACACCCTCGGCACCCCTGGGAGCATCCCTTCCGTCCTACTACAGGGCCGAGAGGAAACATAGTCACATCACTCTTACTGAAGCCCGGCCACAGAGTTCAGGCTGGCGGCGAGATGGAGGAGCCTGCTCCGCCTGGCCCCTGCCCACCCTGCCAGCCTTGCCTCTCTAAGCTGCCTCTTGCGTGTCCTCCTGGACCAGTGCTGGCGATGACCCTGCGCTCCCAGGAGGAGCCGTCCTCTTTGGTTTCCATGCCCTGGCATGCACTGTTTCCCTTGGAATGTACTTTTACAGCAGGGAAAGCACAGCTGAGATGCCCCGGCTGTGGTGGGCCTTCCCTGACCTCATACACCCCCACGGCTCTCCCAGATACGACTTCTACACCACTCTGTGGCCAGGGCTGGATATCCCAGGGCCTCCAATACCTGATCACTGGGTTGGTCACCAGGAAGGAAAGAAAGGGAGGATGGGAAATCACACAGGTTAAGTCCTCAGCACAGAGCCTAAAGAATACCTCTGGATAAAACTATGGGGCCAAGTTGCTTCACAAAGTTCCTGAGCAAGTCCCTCCTCAAAACTGTGTCAAGAATCGTTTGCAGGATGGACATCAGTCACATGACAGAACACACTAGCGAACGCCAAAGCCGACCTGGAATTCTCTCACCCAAGTGCAGGTTTCCGGGTCATCTCTATTTCGGACGGCCTCAGGCCTGTCCCTTCGGGCTTCCACGTCTGCCAATCCCCCAGTGACGCAGCAATCCCACCGCAGCAGCACCAGCCCTGCAGGCTGCCTTCAGAGCAGGGGCGGGGGCGGCTCACCTGGGCTGCGATGCCGATGAGCAGCAGCCACTTGTGGTGCTCGTCAGCACGGTAGTGGATCATCTGGCAGCCCGCCAGGCTGGCATGCCTGTCGAACATCTTCGTGGGCTGCGAGTCCCCTTCCATGCTCCAGTGGTAGACTGCGGTCTCGGTCACCAGGGCGACGGTGTTCACGGAGATCCACTTCCAGAAGATCACCTCTTCGCTCATGGTGTGAGCCTTCATTTTACTTTTCATCTCAATGTTAAAGATCTGAAGCGTCTTCCCGGCTAGGATTCCATTAGATGGGAAATTAAAGAGAGAGGGAGAGAGAGAGAGAAATTAAAATCTAAAAGAAAAAAATGATCTCCTCTTTATTCCCAATCCTCTTAGTATTACTTTAAGTGTACTCCTTTAAGCTAATACGATGAAGAGGGAGAGAAAAGCTGCCTGAGTAGCAAACCAACTGCTGGCACTGGTAGTTCATGCCTGGATAGCTAGACACTGGCATTAGATTCTTCTTCCAAAAGATGCCGAAGCCTGACTACTTACAGAATGTATGGACAGCAATCAGAAATCAGCTCTGTGGAAGCAAACTGCCAGAGAAAATAGTTTGAGACTGGTTTCTGTAGTTTTTTAAAACACTTCCAGGGAGGGTAGCCCAAACCCAACACGTCCTTTCTCTATTTAGTATCTCCAACCCTCGGGAAAGAACGCAATCACCTCTCCACAGTGAGCCAACTCCTGCCTCTAACAGGGCTCCTCTGCCTACAGTCAGACACGTGCTGTGAAGGACAGCGTGCTGCTATGCTGCAGCTGGCTAGGAAGTATCTGAACCGTAGCTAGGGAAAACACTTAGGGAGCTCGATTTTGACCTTTACAGGGGTATTTCAAAAAGGTGGACAATGGACGTACAAGATAATTTTATTTGGGTGCAAAAAAAAAAAAATTCAGAAATCTGTGTGTTATGAGGGTTCTTCAGAGAATTCATGGAAAACACATACACTATGAAAAAACTATCCATGGGTTCTAAAAAAATTTCTGCCCCCAAACAATTTTTAAATTCTATTTTCTTTTTTTTTTTTTTTTTTTTTTTGACAGGCAGAGTGGACAGTGAGAGAGAGAGACAGAGAGAAAGGTCTTCCTTTGCCGTTGGTTCACCCTCCAATGGCCGCCGCGGCCGGCGCGCTGCGGCCGGCGCACCGCGCTGATCCGATGGCAGGAGCCAGGAGCCAGGTGCTTTTCCTGGTCTCCCATGGGGTGCAGGGCCCAAGCACCTGGGCCATCCTCCACTGCACTCCCTGGCCACAGCAGAGAGCTGGCCTGGAAGAGGGGCAACCGGGACAGAATCCGGCGCCCCGACCGGGACTAGAACCCGGTGTGCCGGCGCCGCTAGGCGGAGGATTAGCCTAGTGAGCCGCGGCGCCGGCCTTAAATTCTATTTTCAATGAACTTTTAAAGTACCCTCATGATAAAATCAGTGATTGACTCTGATGGAGAGATTCAAATCAAAATTTAGCCAACACAGTTCTAGACAAAAGATGGCACCATCCATCCTCAGGCAGGAGGCCCGTGTCACTCCCACCACTGGCAGGCAGCTGAGGTGCGATTTTGCCATCTATTCAAAACCCAGAGCTAACATGAAATGCTGCTGCTTCCTGGGACTGGACAGAAGGCAAGGACTCACTCTCTGGACACTTCTTCTTGACACTGTACTGGGTATCACAGCCAACATGGTTAATGCGAGGAGAGTAAAAAGATCAAAACAGAAGTCCACCTCTCCTTATTCACAAACAACACAACTATTTCCAAAGAAAATCTTAAGTAATCTGCAAATCTATACAACTAATAGATGAATATCACAATTCTATAGAATGTAATAAGGTCAACATACAAAAATACCACTGAGGGGCTGGTGCTGTGGCACAGCAGGTTAAAGCCTGGCCTGAAGCGCCGGCATCCCATATGGGCACCAGTTCAAGTCAAGTCCCGGCTGCTCCTCTTCTGATCCAGCTCTCTGCTGTGGCCTGGGAGAGCAGTGGAAAATAGCTCAAGTCCTTGGGCCCCTGCACCCACGTGGGAGACCTGGAGGAAGCTCCTGGCTCCTGGCTTTGGATCGGCACAGCTCCGGCTGTTGTAGCCATCTGGGGAGTGAACCAGCGAATGGAAGACCTCTCTCTCTGTGTCTCTACCTCTCTCTGTAACTCTTTCAAATAAATAAAATAAATCTTTAAAAAAAAAACACTGAATTTCAAGATTTTAGCAACAAAAAAACTGGAAATGAAATTTTAAAGAGATTTATAATAGCAACAAAACCATAATATTTAGGAATTTAATAAAAAATAGCATGGAAGGCTTCTACATTATAAACTATAAAACATTTGAGAGAATTTTTAAAAATATTCATTTATTTATTTGAGAGGCAGAGTGACAGAGAGATGGAGGAACCTTTAAATCTACCAGTTCACTCCCAAATGCCTCCAACAGATGGGGCTGGGCCAGGCCAAAGCCAGGAGCAGGGAGCTCCATCTCCCATATGGACGGCAGGAACCCAAGTACTTGGACCAGCATCTGCTGCCTCTCAGGTGCATCAGCAGGAAGCTGGATTGGAAACGGAAGGGCTGGGACTTGATCCCAGGCACCCTGAGATGGGATCCAGGCATTCCAGTTGGTGGCTTAGCCTGCTGCACCACAACATACACCTCCCTGAGAGAAATGTTTAAAGGCCTAAATAAAAGAAGGGGCATGTCATGGTCACAGATCACTTAAAATCATTCTGATGTCAATTCCCCTCTCCCCTGCCCCCCGCCACTGGCCTATGGGTTCAGTGTAACTACAATCAAAATCTCAACACCCTTTTCTGGGGGTAGAGAACAAGCTCATTCTAAAATATATGTGGAAATGAAGAGGACAGAGAAGAGCACTAATAATTATGTACAGAACCAAAGTTGGAATACCTAATGCAGGCAGATACTATAAAGCTACAGTAACGAGGGCCTGGCACTGTGGCATAGCAGGTAAAGCCACCACCTGCAATACCAGCATCCCATATGGGTACAGTTCATGTCCTAGCTGCTCCACTTGCAACCCAGCCCCCTGCTAATGCACCTGGGAAAGCAGAAGATGGCCCAAGTGCTTGGTCCCCTGTACCCACATGGGAAATCCAGATGAAGCTCCTAGCACCTGGCTTCAGCCTGGTTCAGCTTCGGCTGTTGCGGCCACTTGAAGAGTAAACCAGATCTCGATCTCTCTCTCTCTCTCCCTCCCTCCCTCCTACCCTCCCTCCCTCTTTTTTTTCTATTTCTCTCCTTCTCTTTCTGTATCTCTACCTTTCAAATAAATAAGTCTTAAAAAAAAAAAAATCCAGGGCTGGGTCAGGCCAAGGTCAGGAGCCAGGAACTCCACTTGGGTCTCCCACGTGGGTGGCAGGGACTCATTTACCTGAGCATCACTTGCTGTCCCCCTTGAGTGCACATTAGGAGGAAGCTAGAATCAAGATGTGGAATCAAGACTGGAAAGCAGGCATGCTGACACGGGATACAGCTATTCCACACTTCTGCCCCGCAGCAGTCATGTTCTTTAACAGCCCAAACTGGAAACAGTCCAAGGTCCACTGACTGGTGCAGGAAGAAACAGGACGCAGTGTGGCCGTACCACAGGACGCTATCCAGCAATAAAAGGAAGGAAGCCCTGACCACTCTTCCAGGTGAAAGAAGCCAGATGTACAGAAACCACTGGATGATTCCACGTACTTGAAATGTCTGTGACAGACTACTTATTGTATGACTGCATTTATTTGAAATGTCCAGGAAAGGCAAATTTATTGAGGCAGAAAGGCTGGGGGCAGGGTGGGAGTGACTACATAGCATGTCTTAAAACTAGATCATGACGATGGTTCCAGAGCTCCAGCACAATACACTCGGAACAGGTGAGAGACTCCCTACCGGAATAAAGTGGTGAGACAAAGACTGGACTCAAAGTTCACCTCCAGCATGGATGCACCTTTCGGTTTCAAACTGACTTGCATCACAGAGGGAATTTCCTTTAGCTTGAAAAGTTGTCCTTAGATGGGTTTAAAAGAACTTGTGTTGTACCAGGTACAAAAACAACTTCCCCTGGGAGCCAACCTCCGGTCACAGGTAATCCACCACAAGGGGGCGCTATGCCACCACCTCACCCCTCCACCGCATCTAGAGCTACAGGCTGCCCAGGCACTCAATCTGCTTCTAAAAATGAGGGGGAAAAGAGGTGGCTTGTAAAAAGAAACATAAATAAACATTCAAAGGGAGACGTTTCATAATAAAAGTAAGACTGTCATCCTTGGGCTGGTAATGCAAGATACCAGCAATTTTTTCTGTAAATGGACACCTAAGGTCTCTGTTTCACTTTTACAGCTCTTTGTGGCCACCATTCCCAGCCCTGGGGCTGCAGAAAAGCAAGCAGGCTGCCGGCTCCTCAGTTACGGTACTACTGTTCCACCGAAACGACAAGCAGCAGGTAGGGATTCCACTACCATGCCACAGGACAAGGGTAAATGCACCTTCAGTTTTAAAGTAGTCACCATAAATCCATTAGCACAGAAAGCCTCAAGAGGGGACCCCAGGATTCCCCAGGCCTGGCAACCACATGAGCTGAGTGCTTCCGGAGCTCACAGTTGAGTAGGACAAGTTGCAAAGGTTTTTAAAAGGAGATGCTGGCGGCCGGCACTGCGGTGTAGCGGATAAAGCTGCTACCTGCAGTGCCAGCATCCCACGTGGGCGCAGGTTTGTATCCCAGCTGCTCCACTTCTAATACAGCTTCTTGCTAGTGGACTGGGGAAAGCAGCAGAAGATGGCCCAAGTGCTTGGGCCCCTGACACTCCTGTGGGAGATCTGGAAGAAGCCCCTGGCACCTGGCTTCAGCCTGGCCCAGTGCTGGCCATTACAGTCATCTGGGGAATGAACCAGTGGATAGAAGATGTCTCTCTCTGTCTCTCCCTCTCTCTCTGTAGCTCTTTCAAATAAATAAATAAATCTTTTAAAAATAATTAAAAAAAAAAAAAGGAGATATTGAGGTTGGGATTGTGGCACAGTGGGTAAAACCATGGCCTGCAATGGTGGCATCCCATATGAGTGCAGATTAGGGTCCCGGCTGACCCAGCTCTCTGCTAATGCACCCCCTGCCAGCCACGTGGGAGACACGGATGGAGCTCCAGGCCCCTGGCTTTGGCCTGGCCCAGACCCAGCCTTTGTGGCTATTTGAGGAGTGAATCAGCGAATAGACGATCTCTTTGCCTCTGTCTCTCTCTGTCTCTGTGTCACTCTGTGTTTCAACAAATAAATAAATAAATCATATAAAGAACACACTTAAACCTGGGTAAAAAAAATAAACAAAAATAAAAATAAAAAGGAGACGCAGCTCAAGAGGAGCAACGACAATGGGAAGTCTGGGAGCTCCGAGACAAGGCCCCCCCTGCCCGGCTTCACACTGGCATCCCTGGAACCAGCTCTGGTGATGCGACGACCAAAGGGCTCTGCAGAGCTCAATGTCTGTAATTCAGTCACTGCACGAAACAGAATTTTTTTTTTTAAGACAGCTTTTCTTTCATTTTGGTCTAGAGCCTTTTAAACACTGCCCAATTCTCCGTGTGCCAATAATTTGTACTACAAGGACCTGAAATTGTCTTATGGCCACAAATTATGGTAAACACAGCATAAATCCTTATAAATCCCTCTCTAGGCTCGCACTTCCAGAGCCTCACATTTCCCTGTACAGAAGAAAAAGCACTCAAACACGGTTATAGCTGGAGCAGTTCTTGTGACCACTGACAAAGAACGAGGAGCAGCCCTGCCATGCACGGGAGGCCGGCCTGGCTCTCAGAGGGGCTAGGCCGCGCCCAGCTCCACACAAGTCACCGCAGGGGACCCCGATCTCAGCCCAGAGGCTCTGCATAAAGGATAAAGGAAGACAACACAAGGCTGCTTCAGGATTCTGCCTCAGCACAGACCAAAACAAGGCTGCTGTGCAAGCCACAAACTACAAACGCCCACTCTGGTAGCAGAAACGAGTGACTACTTCTTAACCAATCACAGCTTTGTCCTCCCCTAGTCTTCCCTGCATTATAGACAAGACTTATTGAGATACCTAAATCATAAAGAAATTCCTATTCTTTTAAGAAAAGATTGGGGCTGGCACTGTGTTGTAGCAGGTAAAGCCGCTGCCTACAGTGCCAGCATCCCATACAGGCATCAGTGCAAGTCCTGGCTGCTCCACTTCCAATCCAGATCTCTGCTGTGGCCTGGGAAAGCAGCAGAAGATGGCCCAAGTTCTTGGGCCCCTGCACCCACATGGGAGACCTGGAAGAAGCTCCTGGATCCTGGTTTCAGACTGGCACAGCTCCACTATTGCAGCCAACTGGGGAGTGACCAGCGAATGGAAGACCTCTCTCTCTCTTTCTGCCTCACCTTCTCTCTCTGTGTAACTCTGACTTTCAAATAAATAAATAAATCTTTAAAAAATTATTTATTTGAAAAGCAGAGTTACAGAAAGAGAGAGAGACAGATTTTCTATATGCTGATTCTCTCCCCAAATGGCCACAATGGCTAGAGCTGGGCCTATCTGAAGCCAGAAGCTTCTTCCAGTCTCCCATGTGGGTGCAGGGGCCCAAGGACTTGGACCATCTTAAACTGCTTTCCCAGACACATTAGCAGGGAGCTGGATTGGAAGTGGGGGAGCCGGCACTGGAACTGGCACCCATATGGGATGCCAGCACCACAAGCAGTGACTTTACTGCTACGCTACAAATCCCCATTTTCTGACAGCAGTGCACCTGCACCAAACCTCTGCTTCCTTAGATCATCCCCAAATCATCCAAGCAAAGCTCAGATCCCATAAAAAGACCTAACACCCACTTAATGAGACACCCCCAGTCTCCATGGTGCGGTTCTCTCTTGCTACAACAAGAAATAAACCCAACACATTCAACTGCCATTGCATTCTTGTTGGTCTCTGGCTTGGAGAGGACTAACAACCTGCTGTGTTCTCTTCACCCCCATCACTCCCAACACACAGCCTCCAGGAGGTCCACACAGGACTATACCAAGGAACCACCAGGCAGGCTAAAATGCAAGTCATTTCTCAGACTTACTCAGAGTTCCTAACATCAAACACCTCGTCAGATGAGGTCCTTCAGAAGCACTGCAACAATATGAAAAATGCAGAGCCAGCACTGTGGTGTACAGCAGGTAAAGCCGGCACCTGCAACACCAGCATCCCATACGGGCCCAGGTTTATGTCGCAGCTGCTCCACTTCCGATCCAGCTCCCTGCCGATGTCCTGGGTAAAGCAGAAGAAGATGACCCAAGTGTCTGGGCCCCTGCTACCCACGTGAGAGACCTGGATTTTGCCTGAGCCGGTCTTGACAGTCGCAGCCATCTGGGGAGTGAACTGGCAAATAGAAGATCTCTCTCTGTCTCTGTCACTGTCTCTAACTCTCAAACAAATACATATTTTTTTAAAATAAAATTCTTAAAAAACATGAAATGCACTACAAGGTGACTATTTCATCAAAAACAGCCAAGAGATAAGTGACAAAGAGAAACAAGCCATGGAAGATGACCCAAGTTCTTGGGTCCCTGCACCCACATGGGAGACCCAGAAGAAGCTCTTGGCTCCTGGCTTGGGATCAGCTCAGTTCCAGCCATTGTGGCCATTTGGCCATTTGGGGAGTGAACCAGCAGATGGAAGATCTCTCCCTCTCTCTCTCTCTCTCTCTCTCTTTATAACTCTGTCCTTCAAATAAATAAAATAAATCTTTAAAAAAATTAAAATAGTATACACCACTTACATTACATACTAAAATAATACTTTGACAAGACTTCCAGAGAAAAGGTAGAATTGGTAACATAACAAAGATCCTTTCAGATAAAAAAGATTTTAGCTTTCTTTTAAAAAGAAAGGTCTTAACTTCCGGACATCCATATACCTTCTGAAATGACAAAGCAGATGAGGACGGCAAGGCTAATTAATATCTGACATTCACAACTTTTAGGTCCAGTTCTCAGCGTTCGGCTTTAGTGGTAATGCATTTCACATGACACTAGCAAGCGCACTGCATACTTGCACATGATGCTTTCAGGTCCCCCACTGGAGACACTAGGATGAGATTCTCTATTCCCGAGGTAATCAGAAAGTTCCAAGCACCAAAGTTTCCCTGGGTTTACAGAAGTGAAATTCTTTTATGGGCTGGGCATCCCTAACCTGGAAATCCCAAACACAGAACATCCTGACATCCACAGTGCTCCGAAAGCATCATGCTGGTGCCCCAGAAGTCTCGGGTTCAGACTAGAGCAGTCTGGACTTCAGACTAATTAGAGATGCTCAACCAGTAAAGTCTCTGCAAAATCCTCAAAAATAAATATAAAACTCTGACGCATGAAAGTCCACTAATCCCAAGTATTTAGTTTGTTTAAAGATTTGTTATGTATTACAAAAGCAGAGCACAGAAAGAGAGAGGGAGACACAGAGAGAGAGCTCCAACCCATTCACTCCCCAAATGCCCACAACAGACAGGGCTGGGCCAGGCAGAAGCCAGGAGCCAGGAACACCATGCCAGTCTCCTGTGTGGATGGCAGGAACCCAAGTACTTAAGCCTTCAGCCACTGCTTCCCAGGATCATCAGCAGAAAGCTAGATAGTAACTGGGACTCCAGCCAGGCACTCCAACATGGAAGGTGGACATCCCAAGGGGAGGCTTAACCCACTGCACCACCATGCCCACCCCAAATTCCAAGCATTTTTGGATACCCAACCTGGAGCTATCAGCTCTCCTCCCCTGCTGCATTTCAGGAAAGAGGCCAGTCTCTGGGCTGCTTCATTTCTGATCCAACTCCCTGCTAATGGCCTGGGAAAGCTAAGGAATATGGCCCAAATCCTTGGGCCCCTGAACCCACAAGGGAGACTAGGAAGCTCTTTGTTCCTGGATTTGGATCGGCACAGCTCCAGCCATTGCAGCTAATTGGGGAGTGAACCAGAGGATGAAAGACCTCTCTCTCTCTCTCTCTCTGTATAACTCTGACTTTCAAATAAATAAATAAATCTTTAAAGAAAAAAAAAAAACGCAGAAGGATCCTGGGGCCAGCGTTGTGGTACAGAAGGTTAAAATTGCCAGGTGCAATGCTGGCATCACATATCAGAAAGCCAGTTTGAGACATGGCTGCTCCACTTTTGATCCAGCTCCCTGCTAATGCAGCAAATGCTGGCCCAAGTATTTGGGCTTCTGCCACCCACATGGAGAACAGATGAAGTTCTAGCCTCCTAGCTTCAGCCTGGCCATTTGGGAAGTGAACAAGTATATGCACAATCTCTCTCACTTTCTCTCTGTAACACTACTTGTCAAACAAAGAAAATAAATCTTAAAAATAAATAAATAAATAAATATGTATCACCTCAGGGTCTCTGCCACCCATATGGGTGATCCAGATGGAGTTTTGGGTTCCTGGCTTTAGCCTGGCCATTTAGTGGGAATCTGGGGGAGTGAACCAGCAGGTGGAAGCTCTCTCTCCTGCCTTTCACATAAAGAAACAAACCAATAAATGAAGCTTGAAAACCCCAGGGGCTTACCTTTCAGAGCTATCACCTTGGAGGCTGGGTTCATGATGGCACTGTCTGCCGAGATGGGCCGCCGGATCGGCGCCGTCGGCTCGTGCATGTCAACGATCACCACCTGTGCCTGCTCCCCCACTTTCTCTCGGACACATATGAACTTGTCGGATTCCATGGTCAGCGTGCTGAATCCGATGTTGGCAGGATTGATGCCCAGGTTTTGGAGCTACACAGAACAGAAGGATTTGATGCAAGTGAGTTTTCCTCTCTGAAGTCATCAGCTCTAGCCAGCAGGTAGCAAAGTCTAGCCAGAGAGGAGAAGTGAAACAGGAGTATAGGAAACCCTTAACATCAGATGAACTTCTGATACAAACAGCTGGCTTGCCTTTCCATACAATGACACACACAGCCCAGGGTCAACAGGAGCCCGAGAGTGACACTCAAGGCTTATTAGAGCTAGCTCCACAGATGGTACATGAGCAAGAACAAGGGTACCACTGGGGAGCAGGGAAGCAGACAGAAGAGATGGGCTGGTGAGAGCCCACAGAAGACCACACCCGCAGGGCTCAGCTTTGTGGCACAGTGGGGCAACAAGGGCATTCCCTATGAGCATCAGTTTGCATCCCAGCTGCTTGGCTTCTAATCCAGCTCCTTGCTAATGCACCTGGGAAAGCAGCAGCAGACGGTCCAAGCCATTGGATCCCTGCCATCCATGAGGGAGATCCAGATGGAGTTCTGGGCTCGTGGCTAAAGCCTGGCATAGCCCAGGCCATTTGGGAAGTGAACCAGCAGAAGGGAAGATCTCACTCTTTCTCTGTCTCTCCCTGTCACTGTGCATTTCAAATAAATAAAATAAATCTTTAAGAAAAAGAAAGAAAAGACCACACCACACCATCAGAGAAGGCATCACAGAGAAGCCCTTGGAGGACAGGAATGGGGAAGACATAAAAACTGGTTTTCCTAAAGTCAGCAAAAACAAAGACCTAACCAAGCATTTCTGCTTAACACATCTCCCTACATACCATCAAACCTGTAGTAAGTCTGATTTAAATGGACTTCTCAGGCGATTTCAAATATTTCTTGGCAAGTTTGAGGTTAACGCAGTCAGTGGATTTGGTACACATTCTGAGATAAATGATTGTGTGAGCCAAATTGAGGGGCCTTCCTCCACAGGTCTCCTTACCCAAAGTGCCTGCACTAAATAAAGACTCATTATGAGCTATGCTTCAGTGAAAAAACCCTGGAACATAATACATGCTCAAGAAATTTACAGCACCCCTATCAAGAACCACACTTATTTCTATAAAGTTTCCCACCCCCGCCTAACTACAAGGTACTTTATTTTTGAACATTGTTCTGGGACAGGTTTTTGATCTAGTGGTTAACACAGCCCCATCCCAGGGCCAGCGCTGTGGTGTAGCAGGTAAAACTGCTGCCTGCAGTGCCAGCATCTCATATGGGCACTGGTTCAAGTTCTGGCTACCCTACTTTCAATCTAGCTCTCTGCTATGGCCTGGGAAAGCAGTTGAAGGTGGATGGCCCAAGTCCTTGGGCCCATGCACCCACGTGGGAGACCTGGAAGAAGCTCCTGACTTCAGATCAGCCCAGTCTGGCCATTGCGGCCATTTGGGGAGTGAACCAGCAGATGGAAGACTCTCTCTGTCTCTGTCTCTATGGAACTCTGCCTTTCAAATAAATAAATAAATCTTTTTTTTTAAAAAAAGACACCCACATCCCATATCAAGGTACCTGGTCCCAGCTCAGCTCCCAGTTCTTGTCCCCTGCTAGGTTAATGCAGACACTGGGAGGCAGTGGTAACGGCTCAAGTCACTAGATCCCCACCACCCACTGGGAGACTTGGGTTGAGCTCCAAGCTGAGGTTTCAGCCTGGCCTAACCCCAGCCATTGTAGGCATTTGGGGAGTGAACCAGTGGATGGGAGCCATCTCTGTCTGTCTATGATGTCTCTCTGCCTCTTAAATAAGTAAAATTAATTAGTTCAAAAGCTAAAGTAAGATGCAGGATTTTGAGGGTCCTTATGGCCTAAGAAGCTTTTGATCCAAACCTGTTTTAGATCTGCAGGCTCCTCTGACTGACAGCCTACTAAATACAGAGTCTGCACCTTGCTCTTCCACTCGCTGTTTCATGCTATTGATGCTTACTTAACATATAATAATCCAACCCACTGGCTGCTGACAGCTGGATTATTCCAATGGTTTCCTTTTACCAGAGAACACTGCAATGAACATCTTGCGTACACACGCTGCAATGGGCATGCATGTAAGACCACCTATGGAATAAATTTCTACAAGGATAGTTGTGCAGAACAAAACCAACATCAAACGGGTATACCTATTTTCTACGTCCTTGACAGCTATGTTTCCACTTGATGCGTCAATAGATGAAAAGGGTCTTTTTCTTTTTTGTAATTTTTATTTATTTGTTCATTTGGGAAGCAGAAAGAGATACGGACAGACAGACAGAGTGCTCTCATCTGCTCTCACTCTCCAAAAGCTTATGCAATGGCTGGGGCTCAGCTAGACCAGAGCCAGGAGCTAGGGAAAAAATACAGGTTCCCCACGTGAGACGCAAAAACTCAATCACTTGAGCCATCACTGCTGCCTCCCAGGATCTGCATCAGCAGAAAGCTGGAAACAGGAACCAGAGCAAGGGATCAAATTCAAACACTCCTGTGTGGGATATGGCCTCCTAACTGGTGACAACTTTTAGGCCAAATGCTTTCCCACAAAGCTTTGCATCCATCAGTAAAATGAAGTGTCTAAACTGAGCTGTGGGGTTGGCATTGTGGCACAGCAGGTTAAACCGCTCTTGCAATGCTTGCATTCCATAGGAGAGTGCTGGCTGCTTCACTTCTAATCCAGATTTCAGCTAATGCGCCTGGGAAGGCAGTGGAAGCTAGTCCATGTACATACTAGGCCCCTGCCACCCATGTGAGAGACCAGGATGAAATGCTGGGCTCCTGGCTTCGGCTTGGCCCCACCCTGGCTGCTGTGGGCTTTGGGGAGGGAACCAGCAGATGCAAGAGCTCGCTCTCTCCGTTTCTCCCTCTTTCACTCCATCTCTCCCTCTCTTTCACTCTGCCTTTCAATTAAATAGATACATCTTTTGTTTTTTAAAGTGAGCAGCAAACTTTTGGAGCTGGTTTGTGCAAAGGTTTCCAGGAGGAAACATGCATGCATGTGCGTGTTCTGGGTTTGGTGTCATATGTAGGAAGAACTTTCCTGCATTTTCTTCTAACACTTCATACTTTCTTAGGTTTGAATTTCTTTTTAAAGATTTTATTTTATTCATTTTAGAGGTATAGAGTTACAGAGAGAGGGAAAGATGGAGAGACAGAGAGAAAGGTCTTCCATCCACTGGTTCACTCCCTAGATGGCCACAACAGCCAGAGCTGAGCTGATACAAAGCCAGGAGACGGGAGTTTCTTTTTAGTATCCCACATGAGTGCAGGGGCCCAAGCACTTGAGACATCTTCTACTGCTTTCCCAGGCCATAACAGAGAGCTGGATTGGAAGTGGAGCAGCCAGGACTTGAACCAGCACCCATATGGGATTCCAGCACCACAGGTGGAAGTTTAGTCCACTATACCACAGCGCCGGCCCTGAATTTCTAACCCACTGGAAATTTAAATGGCTGCTTTGAAAATGGCTATCTAGTTTTCTCCATATCACTTTGTTTACAATCTTTTCATCACTAATTTGACTTAAAAAAAAAAAGATTTGTTTATTTGAAAGGCAGAAATACAGATAGAGAAGGAGACAGAAAAACAGAAAAATCTTGCATAGACTGGTTCACTCCCCAAATGGCTGCAACAGCCAGGGCTGGGCCAGGAGCTTCCTCCGGGTCTCCCAAGTGGATGCAGGGGCCCAAGAACTTGGGCCATCTTCCACAGTTTTCCCAGGCCACAGCAGAGAGCTGGATCGGAAGAGGAGCAGTCAGGACATGAACCAGCATCCACTGCAGGTGGAGGCTTAATCTTCTATGCTACAGCTCTGGCCCCTTCATCGCTAATTTGAAACGCTACCCTGTCTCACACTAAATTTCTGTCCATCTGTAAGTGTGTGTATTTGACTTTTCAAGTTAGTTCCTTTAATCTATTACACGTCAACACTACACTGTTTGATATACTTAAGTTCTAAGTTGTTTTTAAACATCTGGCAGGGTCTGACCTTCTCAAAACTCATTACTTGCTGAATTTTCTTAGTAACAACATTGCTTAACTTTCTAAGTCTAAAAGGACATTTCAGGCCAAAAAATAAAAAATGGGCGCCAACTGTGCATAGGCAGTAGGTGAAGCCATACAGCTGGAAGAATTCACCATGAGACTGAGAAGAGTAAGCAGCATGGGCCAGGAAGCCCAGAGCACAGAACCCCAGAAAGCAGCAAGTCGCCAAGGTTCTGGAAGCAGGACAGCATGGAGAAGTACATAATTTAATTAAATTACATTTAGCAGCTTTAATTAAACCTAGAATGAAAACTAACAGAAGTCCCACAAGGCCACAACTACTGATGCATGGTAACCCAGGAAACTCTACAATCTCAAAAGGAAACCCACTGGGGGCAGGCGTTGTGGCATAGCTGAGTAAAGCAAAGCCATAGCCTGTGACTCCAGCATCTCATAGGGTGCAGGTTTGAGTCCCAGCTGCTCTGCTTCCGATGTAGCTCCTTGCTAATGTACCTGGGAAGGCAGCAGAGGATGGCCTGGGTGCTGGTATTCAAGTTCTAGCTCTGCTTTGGATTCTAGCTTCCTGTTAATGCACACCCTGGAAAAAGCAGTGATGGCTCATGTACTTGGGTCCCTGATGCCCACATGGGAGAGCTGCATAAAGTTTCAGTTACTGCAGCCTGACCCAGCCCCAGCTACTGCAGGCAATTTGTGGGCGAATCAGCAGATAGAACATCTCTGTGTGTCTTTCTGCCTTTTAAATAAATAAATAAAAAATAAGGAGACCCTTAAAGTGTGTGTGAATAAGAGAAAGCAAAGTACTTTGTGCCATAAAAGGCAAAGATAAAACATTGATAAAGGGTTTAGGACAGGGGATTGTGGAAGTTACTTGCACTTCCTCAGCAGAACCAAAGCCAGATGCTTTGCTGAAATGAAGATTTATTCTACCACATTTGCTTGGCTTCCAGAGAATGAGGTTGGTGTGGCCTGACTTCTTAATGAGCCCAGTCGACTGCAAGTATTCAAGCTTTGCTTTCTTAA